AAAAATCTTCTTAACATTTTTCAGCGCTAATTTTTGAGCAATTACTGCAGTTGGCAGGTGTGCTCGGAAGGGGTCAATGTTGCAACTGAAAACAGATTTCAAACGTGATCATTATATCGACATTCAGCGGTAGCAAGATATAGCCAGAACCGTTACTCTACATCCAGGTGCCTGCATCAACCATCGCCAGTAGATTGCATGTTAGGGATTTTCCGTAGAACAACACTGGTCAATTCCTAGAACGGGACTTCTAAAACTGTTGTTGTGCACTTACTACTCCAAATCGTTTATCTGATGCACTGCATCTGTGCGCATGGGTGTGAGCTTTAATAACACTTTTGAATCTCTAACAAATCGTTGTAGAGCATTTTCCAATAAAGTTATGAGGACTCAAAGAGGATCCTGTAAAACTTTTTGGACAACCTATTCAAACCAAATTCAGTCGCTACACGTACGACCTGTGCTTATGATAATTTCAAACATGCTATAACCTAGTCCGGATATGTCGCAAAAAATACATTAGATGAAAATCTCTAAGAATTCGCGCGCCTTAGGCCTCTGCTTGAATTTAGAAGCTGTTCTACTTACATAACGCTAAATCACAAAAAAAGTACAGCACAAACATTGGAATCTCTCATGTTTTGATTTTAAGTAATGAGTGCTATCTAAGAAGAGAGTTAAGTGCAGCGTGGAAGTCTGGCACTCATTCGCACGTATATATGCACAACTATACTATTACAATGACAATAAATGCGAAAAACACGTTTTAAGAACGCTAATAGCGAAGCGGTAATTTCACCCAATCTCAGCTAATTTGTGAAGTGAAATGATAAGATGTTATATGCTAATAACATTTCCTTCCAGGTTCCCTACGATGGTATTTGGATTGATATGAATGAGCCGGCCAACTTTGGTACAAACGAAAAGGAACCATTCTATTACAATTACATGAATCATTCTAAAATTCCTCCACTATCATGTCCAGACTCAGAATGGGATGTGCCACCATATCCAACACATGCTGCGTTTCTATGGGTATGGCGGACATTATCAAAACTTAGCAATCTTTAAAATTTATAATGTCACATTTTTTCACAGAAGTCGCAACTTGCATCAAAGACACTGTGTATGCTAGCACTGCTTGGTAATGGTACTCAGCGTCATTATAATGTTAAAAACTTGTATGGTCTGAGTGAAGCGAAAATAACGATTCAAGCTCAGTACAAAGCAACAAAAAAGCGTGGGCTTGTAGTATCAAGGTAACCATTGTCCATCCTCCTTTCCCCTCACCTAACTGCACAATAGCTGAAATTTAAATGCAGAATGCAAATGCCAGATAAGAGTGAAAAAATTCTTGTTGACGTAATAAGTAGCTCATTATTGATTAAATTTGGTTAAACTTCACCAATAACTGCTGTTCTTATGTCAAACTACTTGCTGTGTATTGTCTGTTGGGAAAAAAATTAGGAGAACGTTTATTTCTTTTAGATCTACATTTCCTTCCAGTGGTCGTTATGCCGGCCACTGGCTAGGTGATAATACAGCCCAATGGGAAGATCTTCGAGCTGCTTGCATCGGAGTTCAGGAATTTAATATGTTTGGCATCCCGTGAGACCATTTCAACAATTATGAAAGTAGTACTGTCAAAAGGACGTTTTTTTGTAAAACGACACTAACTGAATGATATGAATCCTAGTACAACGATACAGTACCATACATTGTGCCTAAAAAGAGCAACGAGCAAAGCAAAGATAATTACAACGAAATCCAAAGAAATTGAAAATAAAAAAA